GTACTTAAAATTAACTTTCCAGGTGTCATAGTTAATGACAAATTGTCTTGGAAATTGAATATCAGATATTTTCAGAACAAAATAGCAAAAATATATTGATATTGGCAAGGGTTAGATATATTTTGGACGGGAAAGCATTACGCATTTTGTATTCTTCATTGATTTTACCATACTTAGAGTATGGTGTTGAAAACTGGGGCAATACATACAAAAGCTCACTTCAACCATTGTATATATTACAAAAAAGAGCGATAAGAATTGTGCATAAGATGGGGTATAGGGATCACACCAATGTAGCTTTCATACAGTCTAAATTGTTAAAATTTTTTGATTTAGTGGGATATAAGACTGCTGTGTTTTTGTATAAAGCCAGGAACAATTTATTACCTGGTGGAATTCAAAAACTATTTAATGAAAGGGATGGGGGATACAATTTAAGGGGTCAGTTAAATTTAAAAATTCATGCTATACGTACAACCAAAAAAAGATTTTGTATTTCCATAAGTGGGGTAAAACTATGGAATAATTTAAGTGTAGACATAAAAAATAGTAATAGAATTGACGAGTTTAAACATAAATATAAAGGTATGTGTCAATCAAGATATATGCAAGAACAGGCTCAATGATTAATTAGATGGAACATTGTGGGTGTAGCGCATTGTCCGTGGCATCATTGAGGATGGGTCATCATTGTGTCTGATTAGAGCCGACTCGATGATGTTTCAGTTATCACAGGTTTTCTAACTTCTGTTTCAGTGATCACAGGTGTATTCCCTTGTGTTGCATTGAGCGTCTACTGGAGGGGCTATTTTGATTGTTCATAACAGGGCAACCTTGTCAGGGTTTAGTTTTTGTGTACTGTATTTACTATTGCTATTCTTTTTTTGTGACCAACATTACAAAAATCCAAAGGTTTTCAATTTATAGCATTAGAGTGACTTGAAAGCAGGTTGAAAAGTTGTTTACTTGTGACCACATCCAGTATTGACCCAGGTGTGATGTTACCACTTCTGTGTCATTGCAGTAAGGTGAGATGTTAAACCTCTGGTCAGAAAAAGTACAAACAAAAAAAAATCTTTCATTAGGCCCTCACTAACCTTGTTCAAGGCAGGATTCTGTCAGCATAATCTTGCTGCCACTGCCTTCAATATAAGAGGTACAAACCCAGGATGGGGGCTCTTATGGCTGTATACTAGGATCTGTGTCTAAAAAGGGCTGTTGTCTCCACATCTTTTCAACTCAACACTACCTGTCTGTAGCACAGGCTGTCGCTTGATTTCTGTCAGGTCCAATCTTTTGTGTTGATGGTTTACATTCATGTTTGTAAGTCACATGTGTCCTGTTCCAGTGTAAGCACCGCTGAGGTCCTGCAGTAGTGCAGATTTAACTGAAATGCGAGTGACATGCACAGAAGATGAACAACAATGCCATTCGTGCAACAGTCAAATTGCGCAATACCCTGAAAACCTGCTCGGTTAGAGTATGTTCATTCCAGTGTGATCAGAAGCTTCTCCACTGACCCTTGTAGGTGCTGCTGCTCTCTTCTGTTTATTTACAGTGGCAAGAAACAGTATTGGCATTGTTTGCAGCTTCCTGGTTTTTTGCATAAATTGGCCATGAAATGTGATCTGATTTTTGCCAAAGTCACAAATATCAACAAACAATATTTCTAAGCTGATAAAATATGGTCTTTCACATCTTTATTGAACACACCCATTAAAGATACAAAGTGATGGTGGAAAAAATAATGGCAACAGTGTTTTAATAACTGGTTGAACCGCCTTTGGTAGCAGTAACCTCAAGCACTTCCTGTAGCTGTGGATTAGACCTGCACAATGTTCAGAAGGAATTTTGGACCATTCTTCTTCACAGAACTGCTGCCATATTCTTAGAAGTCTGGTGTGAACGGCTCTTTTGAGCTTATTCCACAGCATCGCTATTGAGCTGAGGTCTGGGCTCTGACTGGGCCACTCCAAAAGGTGGATTTTGTCTCCAAAACCATTCTCTAGTAGATTTACTTTAGTGTTTAGGGTCCTTGTCCTGCTGCATCACCCAGCTGGTTCTGAGCTTTAGCTTGGGGACAGCCACCTTGACATTAACCTGCAGGAAACCTTGATATACCTGGGAATTAATATTCCCCTCCACAATAGCAAGTGGTCCAGGTCCAAATAATGATGCTCCCTCCACTGTACCTCACTGCTGGGATAATGTTTTCATGTTGATACATGGTTCTTTTTTTATTTTTTTTATTTTTATACACCATACATAGTGCTGTGTGTTCTTCCCATACAACCCCACAGGACAATTTCCTAACAGTGTTGTGGAGTGTCAAGGTGTGTCTTTGGCAAACTTCAGGCCTGATGCAGTGTTGTTTTGGGAGAGCAATGGCTTCCTTTGTTGTGGCCTGCCATGGATACCATTTCTGTTCAATATTGCTTAGTGACATCAGAAGCCAAGTGGTGCCATTAATTTTCCCACCATTACTTTGTATGTTCAATGAAAACGTGAAAGATCATGACTGTTTGTCTTTAATCAGCTTAGAAGTATTGTGCTGGTTGATATTTGTCACTTTGGTGAAGATCAGATCACATTTCATGGCTGATTTAAGCTGAAAACCAGGAAAGTGCAAACAGTTTTATGACTTTTTTTGTGTGACTGTATAACCGGTCTTTGACGGTCTGAAACTGAAGACAAAAGCAATGTGCACAGATGTGCTTTCCATTTATCACCAGGTTGTTATTTTCATGTACTGTATACTTGAAATGCCTGTCGCTGTGTAATTTTTTTTTTCTTTGTTTCATATGTCAATTTTCAGGCCACAAAGCTCGATGACTGTTTTGTACAGAGGGAACCATTAGGAGTGGTCTTAATCATTGCGCCTTGGAACTACCCCCTGCATCTCCTTATATTACCCATGGTTGGAGCCATTGCTGCAGGTATCAGTCACTGCTGTATCACTATACGTGCATACATACAGTATGTGCTCCTTGAGTCAACAGTGGTCTGTCTCTGAGGCAATTTGACATAGTTGGACTGTTTCTGCCCATTCTCAGTAAATGTGGCTTCATCACAAAGTGACATTAAATGCTTTAGGATCCAATTTTGGTCTTGAAATAACATTAAACAACTATAGAATCATACAATGTAACTGCTGTGACTGTATTTACTGGCTGGTTGTCTCAAACTAGGAAACTGTGTGATCATCAAGCCCTCAGAGATCAGTGCTGCCACAGACGGTCTGATAGCCGAGCTCGTCCCCAAGTATCTGTCTCAGGTAAAGCAACTTCTGAAGTTTGTGTTCTGTTGGGGTATTTGTTTAATTGTTTTTCTTTTTTGTCAAGATTTCATCAGAGCAACAAGACTCATTCATCTCATAACCCCAAACACTTGCTGATGTGCATACTAATATACCTTTAATACACTAAAATCAGATTATTATACTGGCTTTACTGATGTACAGTACAGTCAAGTCATTGAACTGTAGTAGTCACCTTAGAGCTTGGTGCAGTGAATCTGACTGAAGATGGGACTCTTAATTTGACAGGACTGTTATGCAGTTGTTCGTGGTGGAGCAGAGGAGACCAAGGCGCTACTGCAGAATCGCTTCGATCACATCTTCTACACAGGTAAGTCTCCAGAATGGATCCGATTTCTGCATGTCACAGTTTTCACACGTAGACATGTCTGCTGCCCTTTACACTGTTCTCAAGACCAAAATGTCACAGGGCTCCAGACTAACATTTCATGCTGGTGGTTCTAGTGTCACCAAGTCTCCGAGAAGGTAGCACCAGTGCTAGATTTGGTGGTACCACTTCTATTTTAAAATGTAATGCAAAAGAAAGAATGTGAGGTGAAATTCAGATATTCAATCATATTGTTGATGATGAATGAGGGGAAAAAAAATCACCTCTAGGACCAGTCTCCTCTTTTGATGTAGTCGTTTCCTTATCTAAACTTTGTAAAAGGCATCTCCGCTGTGGCAGTGTCATAGGTTGTGGTGGACCTATTGCACACTTAATGGTAATAATTAATTCAGAGTCCTTAATTGTTCAAAACCTAAACAGATAATGGGGACTACTGCCCCCGTGACCCGGTATTGGATAAAGCGGACAAAGATGGATGGATCTTTATTTCTAATTTCATTAAGTGTCTCAGATACTGTGGCCAGTGTTGAGGCTGTCTGTGTAAGTGTTTGGTTGTCCAGTACTACATCTAAGTTCAGACTCGGGGCACTTAAAGGGACCTGGGTGCACACGTGGAGGTGCTCAGCTGACGGCACACCCCAGAGAGCCGTGCACGGCCTCGATGTGCTGTTCTCCACTTTGTCCTCAGTTTGGAGTTTGCTGCTCCATCATTTTTAGAATTTTGTTTTAGCATTCCTGGCTTTCTCAACTTCTAGTTCCCATTTCTGTGTGAGATGTGTGCACACGGCCCTGGCCTTTTATGGGCATTGGTGGAGCTTTAACCTGTGCTCATTAGGAAATACTGGCATGCATTTTCAACTTAAGAACACATGGGAATCATCGCTGTAAGAACACAGTTGCAAACAATTCTGTCGTTTAAGGAATCAGACGTGGACTTTTCTTGGGACCTTTCTTAAGAAAACACTTAGGAAGATGTTGGTGAATGTAGGCTAAAAACAATGCCCAAGTTTCAGCCTACATGTAGCTAATATGGCCACATTATATTTAAATAATTGTATTGTAAAGTATGAGATATTAATTAAGATAAGATCACTGTGCTTCTATAGTAGCCTGTTACCAGCATTGTCAAACATTAAAGTGACCATTGCATGCTCATTTCAAGCCATTTAATGTTTAATCTTGGGTACCTCTACATTTGCTCGGCACCCCTCATAATTCCAAATAGTCTGTAATGATTTCAGAATCATAAAACTAAAAAGCCTCTTCCTAAAAACGAGAGGATAGTTAGTGAACGTGTACAAGATTGAAATAAGATAAACATTAAAATATAGCAAATGTAAAAATATAATGGGTAACATAAGTAAAATATAGCAAATATAATTGAAATGAACAAATACAGGCGTGAGAATAAGATTTACTCATCTTTTAACCTCCTTGGTTTCCCACAATCAGGAATTTTAACTGGTTAACAATATAACAAATACATAGATCCAAAGCATCACTTTGGCAGATTTTTATAATTTGTTCAACAGTTGTGTTTATAGCAGTGTTAAGTACTAGTAGCCGGATTTCCATGATATTTAGGAACCATGTTCATACTCAGCACAGAACTCCTCTCCACTATGGACACTGACTTTTCAGCTCTCTTTTAGGTTCTCAGACTGTGGCACGCAGCATCCTGCAGGCAGCTTCAGTCCACTTGACCCCAGTGACCTTGGAGCTGGGCGGCAAGTCTCCATGCATCATATATGGTCGAATAGACGTTACAGCTGCTGCTTACCGCTTGATATGGGCTAAGTTTTTCAATGCTGGCCAGAGCTGTGTGGCTCCAGATTATGTGCTGTGCTCACCAGCCACACGGGATGCCCTGCTGCCTGTGCTGCGCAACACTCTGGAGGATTTCTATGGCAAGGAACCTCAAAAGTGTCCTGACCTGTCCCGCATCGTGTCACACCGACACTGGACACGTCTGATGGAACTGCTAAGGAGGTCTAGTGGAAAGATCATTGTGGGAGGAGAGAGTGACGAAGAGGACAAGTACATAGGTGGGAGTGTACAGTATAATAACTGTCCGATTAATAAAGGTAAAAAGTAATAAGGGTATAAAAAGAGAAAACGTAGCAGAGAAAGCAGACTCCCAAAGGTAATGTAGTTTACAGTTTAAATCTCAGCAGCCAGCAATAACAGTATTACTATATTATTGTCCACCACAATGATCACCCATCCCCCTAGTTACCCATCCCTGTAAGAGATGATAATTGAGGAAAAAAAATGTGCGTTCAAAAGAAGAGCGACATGAAGAGAGAAGGATCAGCAACATGCTGGTCCAAATGTGGAGCAAGTATTAGATCTTGATTTAATCTTATTACAGTGTCTTCCATTCAAGTTTCTACTTGCACAACAATCCTACAGTTTGTTTAAGTACTTCATCTTAGGACTGCAAAAACCAGTTCAATTACATTCATGGCATCAGCAGCCTACTTAAAGCTATGGTATGTAACTTGATATTTAATGTACTTCCCTTACTACAAAGTCTGCCAAATAATTACCTTACAAGCAGATTTCAGTGGGAAATTGCCTTGTGATAATCTATGATTAAATCTTTGTTTTCTGAGAGTCAACATCTTGGTTTATCAATAATAGATGCTGATCTTTTTTTTTTTTACTCTAAATTAAACTTTTGGGGACAGTGAGCATTGTAACATTGCATCATTTTTATTTATTTCATAATTTCAAAGTTTCTGGCTGTGATTAAATCATTACGTTAATGACTCTTGTCCTTCTACACCTGTCAGCTCCCACAGTGGTGGTGGACGTGGCTGAAGACGATGCCCTAATGCAGGAGGAAATTTTTGGCCCCATCCTGCCCATCCTCACTGTTGACTCTCTGGAGAAAGGCATCGACTTCATCAACCGTAGAGAGAAGCCGCTGGCTCTCTACGTTTTCTCTGATGAATCCTCTGTAAGAATGCAGACCTCTGCAGCCTCTTGTCTCTCAGTTGTGCACACTCTCATATTTAACACACAGTCTTTTCTTTTTTGAAGGTGGTTGATACGGTGTTGCAAAACACCAGCAGCGGAGGATTCTGCTCTAATGACGGGATCGTCTACATGACCCTTCCAGGCCTGCCTTTTGGAGGTGTAGGTAGGTCTTCTTCATGAACACTCACTCAGTTAGACTCAGTTGCTCCTCAAAGCTACAGTAGCTTAGCAAACTGTGTTGTAGATTTATTTTTAAATTGATAAATTGGCATTTTCCCCATCATTCTACACTCAACCCATAGTGAAAGCATGTCTTGGAATTATTAATTTATTTTTCAGTTTTATTAATCAAAAACTGATTAAGAGCCTTAATTCAATACTTTGTAACAGCTAATGTTGGGAAGTTGATCATTAGCTATCTGGTGATTCAACAGATTTAAATACTTTAAGATGAACCAAAGTGTGAAATCTTTAGAATGGAAAACCACATTCTTAATGGCCAGTTACACCTCAGAGAAGATATGGATTGTGGGCGTGCATGTATTTCTGTTTAGATAACATTAGGCGTCTTTGTAGATGAACTCCGTGGAAGCATATGACATGGGCTTTTATAGCTGTATGGATGTTGTAGAAGGTATCATTTGTGCTTTACATAGGATAGACTAGCCGTATATTATTCATGTCCACATTGTACACTATTGTGTTTGACCATTTCAGGAAGTGTAGCTGGCTCAGTGCTGGGTTAACTACACTAGGGGACAGTTTTCATTCTTCTACAAACTGTACCAGTGTACTGTACTTATGGAGTAACTTGTTATTGATACAGTGGGGAGTTCAACAATATTTTTGTCCATTATGAGTATTTGAGTAAAAACACACTTAGCCACGCTAATGGCATGATGACCGTGTCATCGGTTCTGTTGGTCCACCACTTTGGTCCAGGCAGGAATATCTCAACTATTGGATTGTTGTTACATTTGACTCAGGCATTCATGTCCTCCTTTGTTTGAAATGTAATAATTTTGCTGACCCCATACATTTTTCCTTTTGTTGGCATCATTGGATCAATTTTAATTTCTGCAATACTTTGAGTTATTAACAAATAGTAGTTTAAAAATAAGTTCCCATCATCCTCAGCTGTACTTTAGCAAATGATAGCATGCTATCAAGTGTATGGTAAATATTGTACCCACTAAACATCATGTAAACATTTTCCTTTTGAGCAGGTTAATATGTTGGCATTAGCAATGATCTGAAAACACCGCTGTATGTATGTAATACAACCTCACAGAGCTGCTAACATGGCTGTTGAGTCTTGTTAATGATGTCAAAGAATATTCTAAGTGCCCTTAAAACTCTGTTTGTTCATTTTTTCATAGCCTGTTTTATATTTTGAAGAGAGACTGGAATATAGTAAGTTTGCTACAGTGTTTTTGACTGATTCTTCCTATTTCATCTAGGGGCTAGTGGTTGGGGCAGTTACCACGGCCACTGGGGCTTCGAGACGTTCAGCCACCGGCGGGCCTGCATGTTGCGTGGCTGGGCTTTGGAGAGACTCAATGGCCTGCGTTACCCACCTTATACAGACAAGAAACTGAGCTGGCTGCGCTGGACCACCTCAGCCAAGAGCGGCTGCTCACTCATGTGATGACTGGAAGGAAGATATAGTGGAACTTTTTACACCAGGAGCATGAGAGTCAGCATTGGTGAATTTAATGTGGGAACGGGATTACTCCTATTTTTTTTAACCTAAGGTTGTTTGTATACTTACCTATATTACCATACTTGGCTAGCACCCTGTTTTGTGTCTGACACTTTTCATCTTGCAAGTTCCTCTCCTTTTCTCACTGGGTTCTTTACTTTCCGAGCTCGTTTTCTGGTTAGCATAGTATAGAGACAAAACAAGTCCATTTTTATTTTTATCTTTGTGAATGATATTGTATTATTTTTTTAACAACCTTGTTTGTCAGTCTGTACACAGTTTAAGTATTGTCTGTATATTATGTTTTTCATGAAATATAAATAAACTTGAAATATTACTTTTTGACATTTCTACCACAGGATAGTTATGTTAATTTACAAAATGTACAGTGGGTACGGAAAGTATTCAGACCCCCTTAAATTTTTCACTCTTTGTTATATTGCAGCCATATGCTAAAATCATTTAAGTCCATTTTTTCCTCATTAATGTACACACAGCACCCCATATTGACAGAAAAACACAGAATTTTTGACATTTTTGCAGATTTATTAAAAAAGAAAAACTGAAATATCACATGGTCATAAGTATTCAGACCCTTTGCTGTGACACTCATATTTAACTTAGGTGCTGTCCATTTCTTCTGATCATCCCTGAGATGGTTCTACACCTTCATTTGAGTGCAGCTGTGTTTTGATTATACTGATTGGATGTGATTAGGAAAGCCACACACCTGGCTGCCTGTGGGCTACGTGCTTCACTGCACCACTGTCAGGTTTTCAGCTGGGTCAGTTAACTCAGGTTCTCCTTTTCATCGACGAGTGTTCTGTGCACGAGACAAGGCTAAAAGTAGGACAAACATATTTCAAGTTTAGGCTATAAATGTAAATTTCTATATTTTTAGTATGGAGTATTTTTGCTTTTGTTTGATAAACCAGAATGATGCCAATAAAGAAGTTAAAAACAATGTCAGACTGTTTCTTCCGATAAGGCTAGAATACCCCAACGATAAAGTACGATGAAGGGAGCGTCATGATAAGGTTGCCTCCGGGCCTGGACAGCTGCCACTGTGGAGAAGATTAATTTCTGAGTTTATCAAGGAATCCTACAGGATAATGTCAGGTTGGCTGTCTGCTAGCTAAAGCGCTCTAGAAGTTGAGTGATGCAGCAGGACATTGACCTTAAACAGTCAAATCTATTACAGGATGGCTTCAAAACAAGAAAATCTGCCGTGTGGAGTGTGAGTCAGAGCCCAGACCTCAACCCAACAGAGATGCTGTCAAATGAGCCCAGAGCTCATGCCAGACACCCTGGGAATATATCTGAGGTGAAGTGGCTCTGAGAGGAAGAATGGTCCAAACTTCTAACATTGTGCAGGTCCACAGCTACAGGAAGCATTTGTTTGAGATTAATGCTGCAAAAGGAGCTTCAGCCAGTTATTAAATCTAAGGGCTCACTTTTTCCAAAAGCACTTTAAATGTTTAATGACTAGGTTCAATGAAGACGTACAATGTTTGTGTGGTATTAGCTTAAGCATACTGTTTGTCTACATTTGTGACTTAGATGAAGATAGGTTTACATTTTATGACCAAATCATGTAAAGGAAAGTCACTTTCGGCTTTTCCCGTTTAGGGGTCGCCACAGCGAATCGTCACACTGACGACTCGCATGTTGACATTTGTCACGTGTTTTACGCCAGATGCCCTTCCTGGCACAACCCTGACTCGAACCCAGCAAGAGCACTGCGCCTTAACCACTAGCCTAAGTAACATAATGGGTTACTTACTATAAATGTATAAATTAATAAATTGTGGTGGACATCTCTGCTGCAACGAGGTACAGAACAAGACTGAATTCCTTCTGGTCACCGTGACTGCAGCCAGCATGGTGCCTGCACATGTGTAGGCAGTACAGTGTTGGTACCATAGGGGTAAAAGAGACACCAACACTTAAGAGAAGCACACCATGGAGTCTGGGCTCTGCTCTCAGGAACTGTCAGACTGAATTCAGAGAAAAGGTTTGCAGGGTTCAGACAGCAGGTTCATGGCTCAGGTCTGTATGAGGAGGGGGGGCTGGTCCCTGGGGAGGCCTGGTCAGGGGCTAGAGACTCTGGTGTTGGAGAGGGACTCGTTGCTGCTGCCGGCTCTTTCTGCACCAGCTCGGGCTCATCCTGGCCTGCCTGCGGTGGGTGGACCAGGACCCGGTCTATGAGACCAAAGTCTTGTGCCTCCATGGGACTCATGTAGCGATCCCTTTCCATCACACCTTCTAAAAGGCAGGAAAGAAGAAAGAAATGAAGCATCCACTTATGACAAGTCCATTCCACTTAATCACTACAGCAGCTGATTAGCTCCTCCTCTACACTGCAAATTTATAAAAATGAGCTGCTGTTGTGATTGGCTGGTACATTTGTGACAGACCTCCTTCCATTATTAACACTAATGCAACACACAGCTGCTTGGGGTCTACTGATGTCAACATGGCATCACTTTGTCATCATCTCTATAGTAGCAATTTTTAGGCAATACAAAGACAAAATGAAATTCATATCAAATCACTAAAAATGTTGGAATGGTGCTGACATTTCCATAACAGCTTTGTCTTTCTATGTCTCTCTCACTAACACACACACACACACACACACACACACACACACAGAGGGCTGCACGTTAACACTCGAGTTAACCTACCAATGGTTTCCAATGGCTGCCCTGTGTGTTTGGCATAGATGTTGTTGATTTGTCTCTTCAACTTCAGGATCTCCTCAGCCTGGATGGCGATATCTGTGGCCTGACCCTGGGGACACAGCGCTATGGGGATTATTACCCTGTTTCACTGAAATAATCCCCTTTTATAGCCTTGAACACTGGTGTTGTAGTCAAGACCAGCTAAACAAGACAAAGACTGGGGCGTACTGAAACCGAGACAAGACCCAGATTTACAGGCTGGAAGCAGAGTTAAGACCAAGACTAGACCGGCGCAATTAAACTGAATTTGAAAGTACTGGCTCGTCTGTGTTTCAGCGGCACTATATACAAGGGACATTACTGAATTTACTTTTTAATAAAAATTCCCAAAAATTATGAAAAGCCTTGAGACCAAGACTGATCTTGCATACGACACTACATGGCCTGTCCACAGAGTGCAACACCGATAGCCTACTGCAAAAATATTAAACCACCTAGAAATATTAAATAACTCATATTAGTGTAGTAGGCCTACTGATAAATTCAGACCAACCATCTGGGGCCTCCTGTTGGTTATAATAAATTACTTAAGGTTTTGCAAAGATTGGGGGAATTTTTATTGGAAAATATATTCAATAATGTCACTAGAACATAGGTGAATCAGTACTATCAAACTATCAAATTCAGGTTAACTGCACTGGTCTGGTCTTGGTCTTGACTCAGTCTCAAGCCTTTAAGTGTTAGTCTTCACTCTGTCTCGATACACTCCAGTCTTGGTCTCATTTAGCTGGTCTTGACTACAACACTACTGAACACTATGTTTTCATAACTGTCAGACTTAATCACCCTATGCTTGAACTCAAATCAGTATTACTGTACAAAGTGAGACCACTGCCTTACCCTGGCTCCTCCTGAAGGCTGGTGAATCATGATGCGGGCGTTGGGCAGTGAATGCCTCATCCCTGTGGTTCCCGCTGCCAGGAGCAAGCTGCCCATGCTGGCTGCCTGGCCAACACACCAGGTGGAGACAGGATTGAGGATGTACTGCATGGTGTCGTAAATGGCCAGCCCTGCTGTTACCACACCTCCTAGGAAAAGAGAGGAAGGATAAAAGAAGCCAAATGAATTAACTCAATTTAAAAAAGCTCATTATCATTTTACCCCAAATCTATGATTAATTACATGGACAATTGTGGGTGTGGTGTACATTTTGTAATAATTCTTTAATTTAGTATATTACTTGTGTGATGTAAGAATGTTAACACTGTTATAATCTTTTTTTAGTATAATATGTGTGTGGGTAGAAGTGAATCATTTACTGCTTGCAAACCAATGACGGTAAGATGATGTCATGGGGTAGGACTGGATAAGTCTGACTTCTTCCTACTCCATTCAAGCATGTACTAGGTATAAGCAAATTGATATTGGATTAGCATTTGTGGATATGTGCAAAATTATGTGTGTTGACATATCGACTGTCTTTACATGCTTGAAAGAATAAATCAAATCAAATCAAATCTAAAGTAAAAGGGAAAATGAATGATGTAAAGATAAAATGGCAAAAAAAAGGCTATTCAAGGTTTGCAACACCTTACTCAACTCTGAACCCATCTATCTACTTCTGTCTTCACAGATGGCCTTACCGGGACTGTTGATGTACATGTGGATGGGTTTGTTGTTGCTTTCTGATTGTAGGAAGAGCAGCTGGGCAATAACCACACTGGCTACAGAGTCATCGATCTGAGCAGAGGAGTGAGAAACATGTTTAAAAAAAAAAAATAAATAAAAAAAATTCTAAAAAGTTTATTAATGATGGATCTCAGCATTCAGGAGGACACTCACAGGACCCATTACACAGATGATTCTCTCCCTTAGGAGGCGGGAATAGATGTCATATGCTCGTTCTCCTCTCCCCTGAAAAAAAGTACTTTTTTTTTTAAATCTTAAATAATAGCAACAATGACAAACTAAGCTGCACTGTGCATCTTTAAAGTTTTGGATAGGTTTTCCTACTCTCCAAGCCACTCTAGTTAGTTCCTTTCAATCCATTCATGAAACCATCTCACAGAGACTTTCAATCTGCTTTAACCAGGAAACGACACACTAGATTCTGATTGTAAAACTTTCCTGTTGGTGCGTTCAGGATGCTCTGACTTTGGAGGATTCAAAGCTAGTGGTGATACAGCAGTGACTGTGCTACAAGAAGTGACTGAACTGACATAGTTGTTTGTTTGATTGTCTCCCCATCAAGGCAATGAGTTACAGATTTGCATGAAGCTATTTTCTACCTGTAGCTGTGTGAAGCTCCTCCATTTCTTTTGTATGACAACAGTGCAGAACTAGATTCTGAGTATACTTTTTGTAATGTCCCGTTTTCCCTCTTATCTCTTTGCTTTCTACAGTGGTTATCTATACTAATACATACACACAGTCCTCCTCCTGCTGCTCTCAACGAAAGCAAAAATGTGAAACTCACCGCTTTCTATATTCCAGACCATCTTTCATAGTGAAATGTCTATCACACCAACATATAAAAAACCCGAACATATACAGTGGTTTAGCATGTTTTCTATGATGGAGAGTAACAATATTGACAGTTATGTGAGGGAAAATGCTGCTGACTCGTCTTGCAGTTTGATAACATTAACAAAGACATGGTGTGGGGATTTAAGGTCATTATTGGAAATAATATATTTTTGTCATTGTGAATGTACTCTTCTTATGTGTAGTGTTAATAAGGATGTTACTTTATGTAGTTCCACGTACTGAGGATGCCCTTTGGGCATACATCTCTATAGACATGTTGTGCACAGTGCAGCAGTACTAGACAAGACAGCTTTGAAGCCAAATAGTTCATATAAGTTCACTCACCGTCTGCTCCACAACTATAGGTATAAGAGGGCTCCTCCATACAGGACTGTGATGGATGGACCTGCTGTGTTTCAGCTGTGTCAGCCCACTGATGTGAAACAACCTCTGAAAGACACAGAAACAGAATGGTTTCTCAAACTTTATTCAAATTGTATTAAACGATGAGTCCAAAAAACAAGTGTCATTGCAACAACAGCAGTTAAAATCCTCATGCTGTGAGAGCGGGATGGTTTGACACATACATTTCTGTCTGTGGCATTCTACGCAACACAGCTGGATCCTGAAACACGCCTAACTGCTATGCCATCCCAAAACAATGATTTTAAAAAACACGAATTAATTTGACTGCTTAAGTACAATGCATTTTGGAGAATACCTTACACAGTCTGTCTTTATATGAGAGATCATATCAGTACCGCTACATTATGGGTCTGACAGGTTTAGACGTGATGTCTTGATGCAACGTTACACAAGCTAACCTATCAGCTAACGCGCTTAACACAATGAGCACCAATTAACAACAGTGACCACTGACTTTATATAAAACCAGCTATAGACTATGAGCCATGCTGACAAGAGGGCTCACTAAACCTGCTGGTAGTACTAACCCGTAACAGCATAGTAAAACTTTAGTTTTGACTCTCCACTTCGTCTGACAGTCTTAAATACAACCAGCTCTGCTTTGACCTTTGAACCTTCTTCTTCGTGGAAGAAAAAGACGCTTCGCCTCCAATTTAGATTCATTAGCGCCATCTATCTGACCCAGCTGCTATTTCCATCACATTTCCTGTCGCCAGGGCATTAGAACCGTCTCCCCAAATATTGTATAGCTATTACAATCAAAACATGATTTTTTTTAGAATTAATGAGAAACTCAGTAATGAGTTTCTCTGAAGACTTTCAAAAGAAGAAATATTCTAAAATGTTTTTTTTCAGTATGAAAAAAATAAAATTACAAAGTGAACACATTTACCAAAAAAAGTTTTTATGTCTGTTTCAGTTTCTGTTTATGCACACTTATATCTCTGTGTTTGTCTCTTCAGCTTTTGTTTGGATATTCTCATCTGTTTGTGTCTGTCTGTGTCATTCTGTCTGGATGTCCACCTGTTTGTTCCCAGAAGTAGATGGAGCTGAGAGTCTGAAAAATGGTAAGGCACTAAACATTTATAAAAGTAAATTTTGTTTAGACAATCCTGTCCTTCAATGCATCATAATGTGCCTCTGCCTACTACAGGTGTGTGACATGAGACACCACAACAAGCAGTGTTGGTCCTGGCATGGCTGCACGGCAGGACACTCATGACATGAGTGCTGAAAAGATGTGGCCTATTACTCTTCTCTATGCTCACTTTATAAACTGACACATTTGATTAAGTGGCTGTACCACTATTTGGGTGAGGCCTCACAGACTAGCAGGGCCTGGGGCCCCACGCTGGGGGGTGGTGAGGCGTGCCACAGTATGTCAAATCACATTTTTAAAGTAAGAGCATTCATCTTTGATTATTCCACTGCATGACATTTCCAGTAAATACTAATTATCTGCATTAAAAAAAACATTTAAAACAAGCAGGTCAACATCTTGTTTCCAGTCATTTTGATCAAAATACTGAACATGTGTCAGGTTCTAACAAAAGCAAACTGCTCCCTAAAAACGTTATTTGCATATTGCAGCATCTGTATAAATGTGTGCATTATTGATCCAAGGTAAATACTGACTTACAACCCTGCTCATTTTAATAGTGTGCAGAGAGAGTGACTTCTCCCTGAAGTACATGTTCATCAGAACGGAAACTCCCGTTCAACAGTCGTGATTATTTCCAGGTCGCCGACTACACATCCCTGCAGGTGTGTCTGTCATTGTGTTTGCTGGGTCAGCAGCAAAGTTTTTTTCAAAGCAAGAGTTTTTTTTCATGTTGGGTAATCAGGCCACACAGAGACACACACATTCGAACACATACCCTACACCTGCTGTCCACTGCTGACAGAGAAGTCAGGTTGTTACACAATTGCAATTCCTTTCATCGTCTCTTCCCCTCACTCACAAAGCCACAACACGAATACTAAGTTTACCAACAAGACAGTTAATCAATTAAATTATAAAGTCAAACATCTGCTGGATACAAATGTGGGGGTTTCTTTTTCCCATTATAGTGTAAAGAACCTCTTTGTGCTGCTGGTATGACATTAGTTTGGACTCTGGTAACTTATGATGAACTCGTCCTCTTACTTTTTAATATTTTATAGTCTAAACCAAGTTCCCAACTGGAGCTGAAGCAGAAAAGCCGATTAATCCATCAGTCCGCCAAGAGGAGATTAAAGTGCAGCAATTTTGATTATAAATTAATTGTTACAGTTATTTAAATCAGGCAAAACATGCCTGTCTTGGATGAAAGGATGTGATCCTTTTACAGATGTATATGAACCCCTGTTCATTCTGTTCAACAAGACACGACTCCCTATCCTCAGGTTGCAAACCCCTTGGCTAAAAAAAGACAACACAATAAATACATTCATCAATAATGGAAGTAAGTGTTAGCTGCAGCCCTGACTGACTAAAACATGAAAACAAATACTGGTCACACAGTTGCACTCTGCACGTCAGTAGGCTAATTAATAAACAAACCCTTCTGTGGGTATCTGGTGCCCAGTGTGTCATATACACATGACAGTGCAACTAGTGACATCACTGATGACCCAAACACATCAATGCCCCTGCTGTCTGGCCCAGCCACTGCTTCGGACTCGGAGACAAAAGGCAGCAGGAAGAAAAAGAAGATGTGGCCATGTCGTATGCTACCTGTGTTTACGCAATACCCGCTTTAACCTGTCAGGTGGCGCTGTTGAACGGCGTATCGTGTTGATGCTCGGTCTGCCTCCAGCAGAGAGAAGTGCGTGGTTGGATGTGAGCGCGAGCGACCTGTCTCTATTTCCAGATCGAAGATGGCGGTCTCGGTGTTCCCCGGCGTGCGGCTCCTCTCCATTGGAGACGCGAATGGAGACATACAGCGACACTCAGAGCAGCAGCCGCTGCGGTTAGAAGTCAAAACTACACAAGATGCTGCCCTCATCAATCTCTCCAATGGTGAGTTGACCTTTTCTACAGCTGCTCCTCAGATTATCGGCCTGTCTTAACTACTAGCTAGCTAATGCTACGCCGTGCTAATGCTTATACAGCTAATCTGCCCATACATAGCGCTAGCCACCAAGAAGCTAGCTCATTTTGAGAAACCACGTCGCCTTCCCCTGCTCGTCACGAGGAAGCCCTTAAAATTCCAAATTTTTCGTTGTTAGTCTCTCGAGACTTGCTAACTTTAAGCTGTGTGCTCCCACACAAGTTCACGGCTTTGGAGACCTCGACAAAAATATATCGCCACACATACAACGTAGCTTACTTAGCTGCTCTGCTTATTGATGTGACTAAGTAATAACGTTATGGTTTAATGCTAGTTAAACAATGCCACTAGCCTGGCTTCAGCAATAACGCTCTGACGTGCATCACACCCGCTCGCATCTGACATCTTTTACACTTGATATTTCACAAACATTTATTTTCTCACATAATCACGAACCCTAGTTCTGTAATTTAACCTATTCTGTTTTGTCCACAAGAGACGTATGTAATGTTATTTGGCTGTTTAGCTTGTGAATTAGCTTCTCTGTGTTTTGGAGCAGGGGGCATCACTCCTGACCCGTCGCTGTGCGCTGCAGTCCTGGTGGCTGCCGCTGCTTGTTTCGCAGTGATTTAGTCAGTAGCCCGTCCCGGAATAGAGCAGTAAACACACAACTTTTAAAGGTTTTATTTATTTTGCTAAATTAGTTCTTGGTATTTGGGTGGCGTAGCGAGGCCGGGCCCTCATTACGTATGCATTCATCTTTGTTCTCATTGGAACAATAGCCGGGTCGCTGCCGCTTTCTTCCCTCTTGTGTGGACGCAGCATCCCGGCGGCTCCGCTCCTCTGCAGCTTTTATTCATTGGAATGTCCCGCGCAGGCCTCCTGTGTCGTGGTGCTGAAGATAAAGAAAAGCTCAGCATTTTAGACCTTTCAATAACTCTATACTGAGTTTCATTAGATGGCACTGAGAGAATCGTCCCCGTTGATCTTTTGGAGCACAAATTAAGAAATTAAGTTTAATTTCTCCCTCTGGGAATTTAGGCCCAGGAAAAAGTAAAGATAGAGAACTAATGTATAAGACGGGCCTGAAAATACAGTGTAAATTAGCAACTAAGCGTTGTTGTCACTTCTTGACAAGAAATTTATTACAATTGTGATAAATGGCTTGAAACCACACCAAAGAGTACATATCAATGAACTGGACAAGGCTGTCTGAAAGCGTCTACAGGTATGCTACTGAAGAGGATATAATCATGAACTAGCCCGTTTACTCTACAGGCTAGTGAAAAGATGTTCCTCTTTTATTGTAGGTATGTTGATTGGTAAGCTGTAAATTAACAGTATTCATTATCACTTTTAAAGGCTGATTCATGATTCTGGGTCAAATCAGTGTAGATTATGTGTAGCCTCATACCCTATGCTGTAGTCTGACGTGCACCTCCCCAGAAATGTAACTGCACGGTGATGCAGACCACAACTGTGAATGGTTGCAACACATTTCCTCGTACATGTCTCTCAGTAGCCGGATGCCCCCCCCCCCCTCGGTCGTCGTCCTGATCAGCCCCTCCGATGTCTAATCTGAATTGTAGTAATGTTTATTTCAGTAAAAGTAACTGCTCTTCAACATCTGTCAGTTTCAACTCCAACATGATCTGCTCAGTTTTCATCGCCATTGTTTGTAAGTGGTAAAGAAATGCAATACAGAGGCATAGAAACCCGTCCGCCAACTAGCATTCATGCCACACCAATGCACAAGTATCAAAGTTCAAGTTCAAAGTGTTTTATTTGTCATATGCACAGTTAGGAAACGTGTTTCCCTGTACAATGAAATTCTTACTTTGCCGTCCACCTGAATGCCACAAAATACAAATGAAATATAAAGTAGATGACACAAAATCTAAGGCACTTTAAGCAGCAAATGCAGCAATATATTAAAAATATATAAGAATATAATAAGAGAATGTATGCTGCATGGGAGCAGCATGTGCAGCAGTCAACAGTCAAATGTGCAAACTGAGAATGTAAACAGTACAGCACATCACGTATTTCCTGGTATTAAACTCCTCAGCTGTTTAGGATTCTAATGGCAGTGTAAATGCTCTGCAGAGAGCGTAGTGGAGTCCTAGTAATCTTCTCCGCAGTCTTTACCACTCTCTGTAGGCGCTTGCGATCCATAGCAGTAGTGCTACCATACCAGACAGTGATGCAGCTGGTCAAGATGTTCTCAATGATGCAGCTGTAGAAGTTGCAAAGGATCCTAGGTGACATGTCAAACCTCCTCAGGTAGTACAGCCACCGTTGGGCCTTCGTGACCAGCTGTGTGGTGTTAAGTGTCCAGGTGAGGTCCTCACTGATGTGGATGCCCAGGTATTTAAAGCTGCTCACCCTCTCCACTTCAAGCCCCCAGATGAACAGTGGTCGATGAGATCTCCTCTCCTTCCTCATGTCCACTGTCATCTCCTTCGTCTTGTCCATGTTGAGGCTGAGATTATTGTCCTTGCATCATGACACCAGACTGGCAACCTCCCTCCTGTAGGCTGCTTCGTCCCCACCAGTGATGCGACCTATCACTGCTGTGTCGTCCACGAACTTTAGGATGACGTTGTCAACACTCACAATGACATAGGGTCTGCATAGATTCCATTAAGAGCTATAAATCAGGTTTAATATATCAGCCTCCAGTGCAAGCTATAAGCGAAATAAGCTATTCTCTGGTTAGCTTAGTAGTGACTAACATTTATTCCATGACTTAACTTGAAGGCTGGTTGGAATTAAGCATAGCTGCCTTAGGGGTTTGTGTGCTCTCTGCACGCCAGTGGGTAACAGGCTTTGACACAAACACCGCTGAGGTAAATGAAGCATCACTCCGTAACACTGCTTTAAAATCAGAGTGGACTGAGTGTTTCTGTAGTTCTAACAAATCCAACAGAATGAGGAGTAGTGCCTGGAAGTGTTAGTGTTATTTTCCCTCAGTATATACCAGGTCTGCATTGGGCTGTGGGATGGTACTCAGTTTTTTTGAATATTGGATGTTGTGCACTTTTTGGGCCATAAGAGTGCTCATGAAAATGATATGAAATCATGAAATGAAAATAAATCAAAATTAAAACACTGATGGCACTAACGGTTGTCTCACTACCAAACTGCAGCAACAAGTTTAGACAAAGTCTGCAAGCAGCCAGGAAAGGTATCAACAGGCTAAATGAGTCTACTCTCTGATTCTGGTACATGAGCTAGTCTGGCCAGAGACCCCCAAAGCTCTCAAGTGGACTCATCGGTATCTTTGGCATATAGACTACTGTTTGGCAGCAGGTACAAAAATAAAAATCTTTTCAGTTTCCATCAATTAAACTTTCTTTTCAGTTTATAGAGTTGTAATGAATTGTATAATATTTCATTGTGACAAATCAGATTTTACAAATGCAGTTCAGCATGTATGGCAAGTGGGCACGAGCATGTATGAGAGCTGGTATCAGTAGGAGCTCAGTGGAGGCGTGAAGTATGTGGGCTTGTAGTACTGTGCAGTCTCAGCAGTGAATGCTTACAGCTATTATAAGTTCTGTGGTGAAAAATCATCAGTCAGCCAATGCTCTGCTCAAAGGAAGCTAAACACTTGTCACACCATATTCTAATAAGTTTTGAGCACCATTAAGACTGCACAGCATATGCTTTAATTTATATGGGTGGCAGGTAGTTTGCTAATATAAGGTACCAGTGAAAGTTTGGACATACCTTGCCATTGAATGTTTTGTTGTTGTTTGTTTTGTGTTATTACTCAAAATAGCCACTGCATGCTTTTATGGCCACTTTGTACGTTACCAGCAGTATATGTACCAGTTTGATCAGGTAGTTGAATGGAATGGTGTTTAGTTAACAGGTCCTACATCACAATTAAATGGTGGACTCTCTTGCTTCTTTAATGTGTTTGAGGCCACCAGTTTTGTTGTGCCATAGTAATATTGGTATACAGCAAATACTTTGAAAGTTTATTCAAGTGTGTACCTGTGGTGCAGAGGAGTTTCTAGGCTCAGAAATCGCCAATAAGTAACACCTCTGGTTACAGCCCACATCAATGCGTTGGCATCCCGTCAACATTAGCTGTTCAGCATTCTGTGGCAGCACGCCATCTTATTTAGTCTGTGATTAGTGGAGACCGTCACTTGTTTTTCAATGGGTCAGTGACCCAAAACCCACCTTGAGGCCATGTAAGAACTGTTTGACCAAGAAGAAGAATGATGGGGTGCTGCATCAGATGGCCTGGCCTCCATAATCACCAGACCTAAACCCATCAGCGATTAACTGAGATGAGTTGGACTGCAGAGGAAAGGAAAAGCTGCCAACAAGTGCTCAGCATATGTGGGAACTCTTTCAAGACAGTTTGAAACCTATTCCAGGTGTCTACCCCATGAAACTAGTTTAGTGTGTGCAAAGCTGCTGCCAAAGAAAAAGATGGCTCCTTTGAGGAATTTAACATTTAAAACACATTTTGCTTTGTGTACATTTTTGTTTTTGCTTATACAAAATTCTGTATGTTTTATTTCATAGATTTATCTTAAGTATTAAGCTACAATGTGATAAATCTTAGACATAAAGAGAAAAAAAAGAGAATGGGAAGAAGTGTCTAAACGTTTGACTAGTACTTAAAAAGCCAAGAAGATGAAAACTTGTTGTGTCAGACTTTAAATGGCTTGATAAGTATCTAACAAATGTACCAATAGATAAAATTAGTTCATCCCATTTTTGCCAGCCCTAGTGAAGAATCTTTTGTAAAACTGTCAACTTAAAGTGTATGTTAATTTACACAGTCAAAATCTCACTAGGGCTGTACCCAAATAGTCCAATAGTCGAGTCATTAGTTGAGAGGCCTATCAGTCGACTGAGACTCTTCTAGTCAAGCCCTTGTTTTTATATTTTTATATTTAATTTTTTTGTCAGCTAGGGTGCTTTATAATAGAAGATAGACCCAGCTGGTAGTTTGCCATCTTCTTCTCCTCATTTTTGGTTTGCCAAGCAGCACTTTGTTCAGTACTGATTCTGATCAAGAAAGAATAATAACTTTACAGACATAAGATTGTTGTTCTTATGTCTGTTGAGGCACAGAAGTAGCATGCCAGTTCTAAGCAGATTCTGCCATTAGGAAGCTAACGGAAAAGCATGACATACCACTCAGAAATCAGAATATGCCGGTGGAGACTGGGTATAATCCGCTGGAACAGAAGTGGCATGCCATCAGCCACTTTTTGATCTCTGCGCTTCTGAGATTTTCTGCAGTCAGTGATACTGACTATCCAAGTATGCAATGAGATGATTCTTTCCTTAAATAGAGCTCAAAGGAATATTACAAGTCTCCACAAACTTTGCACACCTGGACTTGTGCAGTTTATCCCAGTCTACCTGGCAGATCCTCTCAAGCACCTTCAGACTGGACCCCTCTATATTTTGCTGCATTCATCCTTCCATCAGTTCTGACCAGTCTCCCTGTCCTTGCTGCTGAGACACAGCTCATGGCACGAGGCTCCCACCACCATGCTTCACTGTAGGGTTGATGCTAGCAGCCTTAGTGCTTAGAGTTCTTCCCAAAGAGTTCAGTTTTTGTCTCATCAGACCAGAGAATCCTTTTTCTCATGCTCTGAGTCAGTTAATGCCAAAGTCAAACTCAAAACAGGTTGTCATATCCCTTTTTTGTTTGGCCACTCCACCATAAAGGCCTGGATTGATGGAGAGCTGTGGAGATGGTTGTTCTTCTGGCAGGTTATGCCATCTCTGCAAAGGATTTCAGAAGCTCTGTGATGGTTTGGTTCTTGGTCACCTCCCTGACCAAGGTCCTCCTTGCCTGACTTTGGTCAGACAGCTGAAATTGAGGAGGATTCCTGGTGATTATGACTTTGTTCATTTCACAGTTACTAAGGCCACTGTGCTCTTGTGACCCCTTAAAGCTTTAGAAATGGTTTTATACCCTTGCCCCAATTCCTGCCTCATCACAATTTTATCAGAGGTCTATAGGGAGTTCCTCAAACTTCATGTCTTAGGTTTTGTCCTGACATTACATGCGTCTTTCTGAATTATGTCCAGTCAATTTAGTTTGCCACAGGTAGACTCTAAAGCATACAACATGCATCTTGAGGTGTAAATGAGGTGGGTTTTTTTTGTAAGATCTAGAAGGATTTATTAGCAGAAATGAGCTATAATATGCATAATAATGTTTTTATTAGTATCCAATCACCAGAAAATAGGAAGCATTGCTTTTTTTAAAGCTTAGAATAAGGCTCTTATATCTACATAGGAGCGGGTCTCCTATTATTGAGGGTGCCGTATTTTTTTTACAGTCACCCAGAATGGACAAAGCACACAGTGGGATGAATTTCACGTTTTCACATGGAAGTAGCAGCTTGGTTTGGGAGATGGTTGGAAGACGAAAATAAGTAACCTCGGAAAAAAGAGAGGAAGCAGTGTTGTAAGGTTAAGAACTATAATCTGTTAAATGGAGGATCATAGTTAAGCTTTAACACAAGAAAAAGGAAGATTGTGAATCCCTATCTTCAAAGAAGCAAAGACATGAAAGAAAGGGATGTTTTAAGGTTAAGTGCAGTCAAGTGAGCCATCAATTGCAAAAACCTGGTCAACCAAGTTGCTGTTCGGGTGTTTTTTTTTTGTTTGTTTGTTTTTTTTTTGCACTTGTTTGCATACAATAAAGGTGCTTGGAGCAGCCAAGATGGATGTCTAAAGTCTGGCTGAGTATTTACTAATAGGCCTAGCAAATGAAATAGTCTTATTGTGCACCTTAATGTATGTGGGTATTCAGCATTCTTCAAAATTACACTGTGGTCAGCTGTTAGCTTTTGCTTGGTCAAGTTGGCTGCACTTGTTTTCTAATTGCGCAGTTTGTCCTACATTTATGGTAATTGCTGTGAAATGGCTGTGAGGACTGTTGAACACAATGTATGAAAGCTTTGCTGAATGTTGCAGTCTGTAACCTCACCGCTAGATGTCACTGGAACTCATATACTGCACCATGAAGAGTAGTAATTAAAGGGCAAGTACACTGATTTACACATTTGTCAGTTAAATAGCAGTCAGTACCACTCAGCCTGTGAAAACAGTTGCATAATGTATTCATTGGCTCTAGAGGAGCTGTGTGTGAAAATAACCCTGATGATGGCATATTAATCTCATCAGGGTTAACTTGGCATTAGAGGAGAAGACAAACAGCAAGCCTGTGTTATCCAACTAGAGAGGTGGATTTTGAAAGACAGGCATTCACCATATATATTCTCCATATATATGGAGACTCAAAAAAAACATATTAAGGAGCTGATATAATGGAAAACAGACCAAAAAAGCACTGAGATGGTTTAGGGTGATGGCAGCAATCCTTCACTGCTTTCAAATTACTAAACTCTGTCTCTGCTGTGTTTTTAAGTAATTTGAAATTTTGAGTCTCCTTCCTTGAAAGTGAACAGTGTTGAAACTGTGCCACTTGTGGCGTCACACCCCGATAGGTGAGGATAAGCCCACCTCGTACACAGCACTACTGAAAACCTTATCTGTTCTGTGCATTCATGAAATGTAGCTACCTCCTGACTGACTGGTTAAGGCTGGGGCAAGATAATATGGTGAGGCGATACAGCACTGCCATAAGTTGCCTGTTGTGCCTGTGTAGAGCAAATTGGATAGGCAGTACAGATCAGGTAGTGGCAGTGCTTGGAGCACATGGATCTATTGAAAACTGAATCCTAGAATACAAAATGATGCCCATTCTTCCTAATGAAAGTTGCTCGCCTGGTACATAGTCCCCATAGTCTACATTTTTTCCTCTGGTTTTGTTTCTGTGTTGTATGGCTGACTGCATTTGGGCATCAGTGTTTTCCACACTGCCTGCACCCACTCACTCTTGCTTGGCTCATAGACTTTACATCGGGATGATGTCATGAAAATAAAACTCAATTTTCTGGTCTCTGGGAAAGTTTTACAGTGATTAAAACAGCCGTTCTAAATATACAATGGAAAGAGCAATCATTTATTTTGATTGCAATTTGAGGTGCCCAGTCAAAAGTTTTAAAGATGTCACTTTTTTCATTGTGGTCTATGGAGAAAATGCTTTTTGGGCTACAGGAGGATTTTTCTTTGCAGTACTGCAAGTGGCCACTGAGAAAGATTGGCTGGACGACTGTGTGTATGGCAGGCTTTTTGTCTAGTAAATTAATCTCTCTGAAGATGAAGTGCTGCTTTTAATCCATTAATAGATGTTAGATTATTTTAGGCTGCTTTATGAGACCATAATGGGGTGCTGCACAATCGGTAAATGCAGCACTTTTGAGTTCTTAATCTAAAGGTATATGATAGGAAAAGATAACTGCAATTAAACATTAATACCTTGCTAATGGCTGTCAGCCAATACATGAATGCGCTTCTCTTCTTCTAGGCTTGTGCCACTTGGTAATCAGATTAACTGTTGACTAAGTGTTTTTACATTGCTTGATACTAGCTGGTGCAGGTGCATGTGTCTGTCCATCGAGACTGTGAGCCACATGCAGCTGCAGCTTCTTTCTCCATTTTGCTATCTCTAAGTGTCAGGTCTGTTTCTGCCAGGCCATATTTACTTCTCAAGCTGTAGCCTGCAATTCACTTGTGAATACAGTAGTGTTGTAAAAAAAATAATGACTTTTGATACATATTGATTCAGAATATTTCAACAGTTCAATATTTCAATACTCATTTTACGTATTTTCCACAATAAGTTGTGCGATTTGAGTAATGTAATAAGAATATAGAACACCACCTGTATAACAAAATATACAGCTCTGTGTTTCTGATGTTTTGTGTAGATATAATAATAATCTATGCAAATGGAAATGTAAATCCTAAAAAGGGAAATACACTGATACCATCAGTATGTGTGGAATAATCTCACATAGACCTGTGCTGGACATTTTAGAAAAAAAAGGCATCTGACAGTCTAATAGTTGCATATGGATTTATGATAATTTGTCATTTTTCAGGCTCTGGGAAAAAAAAAAATGTCACTAATTGTGGATATTCCTCCAAAGTGGTTGTGTAGGCACTGGAGGGAGATAATGAGACCGAGGCAGCATTGTATTCAGCTCTCCTACACAGGAGCAGGTTGTGTTAAATCTTAAACTACTCAAATGTGACTAGTAGGAAGATAACGGTCTCTGTGCTGTCATGCAGACAGCTGAAAAAATTAAGATATATTGGATTTATCCAGTGATAAGTAAAGTTTAAGCAGCAAACAGTTCAGTGGCTGTATGCACGTATGCCTCACGTTTTCCTAATGCTTCCATTTCCTCCCTTTCGTTCCAGGAGAGGAAGCGAGTATGTTCAAATGTTCCATTTCCAGGGAGACGGAGTGCAGTCGCGTAGGGAAGCAGTCGTTCATCATCACACTGGGATGTAACAGCGTCCTGCTACAATTCTCCTCACCTGCAGGTACACACAAAGTGCCCCAATATCATAAGACTGTCACACACTGTACACACATACAACAAGGGGTTTAACAAAAATCTCGCATTAAGGGTTTAGTGGTTACATCGATTTTTATTCATAGAAAAATGATTAAAACTTGATCACTGTCCAAATACTTCTGGATCTGACTAACTTCAGACTAAGTCAAGGTGCCAAAGTTCATTTTGTTTTCCACATTCTTGGTACACCACCTTACAGTAGTGGAACAAGTATTCAGTTCCTATACTTATGTTAAAAGTAGCAGTACCACAGTGTACAAATACACTTACAAGTAAACGTTCTTCATTCAAAGTTTTACTTAAGTAAAAGTGCAAACATATTAGCATCACAATATACTTGAAGTACCTAATGTACACTCTATGCGGAATGGCTATGTTAATTTAATATATTATAATTATTAATATGTTATTTTGTACATCACTTTATTGTTGCAACTGGTAAAAGTGGGCCTCATGTTAACTACCTTGTATGCTTAGAACTTGAATTTTCCACCACCAGGGATTAATAAAGTTGTATGATTATACTGTATTTTGTTTAATTAATCTGATACTGAAGGTAGCTAAAGTTATCAAATAAATGCAGTCAAGTAAAAGTACAATATTTGCAATTTACAATATTAGTATGAAGTTTTTGACTCAAAAACCGCGACAGGACCCGAACTGTGAGTTTTGTGATATGTTGCACCCTTAATAAACATTACACAGTTGACCCAATACAAAAACCCTCAAACACCTTTTAAGCAGGTCAGCATTGAAACCTCATAAACACTGTATTGGATCCAGTGTGCTTGAGTGGCCCAAAACAATGAAAACAAACTGTCCACTAACTCCACCGTGTAAAGTTCAGGTTTTTGTGTTTGTGTTCTGCTTCAGACTTTCAGTCCTTTTATAATCTGCTGAAGAATTGTCGCGGGCATGCTAGTGAGCGCTCGGTCTTCAGTGACAGGACAGAGGAGTCCTCTGCTGTACAGTACTTCCAGGTGAGAGGCGTGTGAACACATGCCTATACCCTCCTACACAGCACAAAAAGAGCCCCAGGCTTTGGAACACTGCAAATATTACCTTTCTTGTGAATGTCTTCTGCTTTTCCACAAAATTGGACACACCTCATTAGGTAATTGAACTTGCTGAACGCACATTCACAGAGGAAAAACTCCCTCCAGTAATTGATTTTATAGGCTTAAAAGCTTACCTGTAATATGGAAATGTAGGACAGTATGGTCCATCACCACCACTGCCAATAAAATCTGCAGTTGAGCCTCAGTTCCCATTTGGAGAATGTTTCCATTGCTGTGTTTTTCTTTCTTATTAATAAGAATTAAGATTAAATTTGAAAATCACCCTGACCTCAGTTTTTACTTATTGAAATATCTATATATGTGACTACAGAATGAGCTTGTACAACACTGATTTCATAAGCCTTTATTAATATGCTTTTTTTTTTCTTGTTCCTTGTAGTTTTATGGCTACCTCTCCCAGCAACAGAACATGATGCAGGACTATGTCCGGACAGGGACTTACCAGCGGGCTATTCTCCAAAACCACACAGACTTCAAGGACAAGGTAACCTTATAGTACTGGGCAGATGCACCGTTTAATGAAGACTGAGGTAATCTGGGTTATTCACATTAAGTGTGATAGGGTTGACCAGAATGTTCAAGGGCAAAATATCTGCTGTGCTAAAGAGATTCAAGATGTAGCGTTGCACAGATGGAGATAATGGGGATAATGGTTGCTCGCTGGATCAGCAGCATCACTGTCCTGATCCAGCATCATTTAATATAGTGTTTTAGTTTAGTCAAATAGTTTCTTTCTGTCAGTCATCCCCCGAACTTTATATAACCCTTGTTTAACATTTGAATAGAAGTGTAACTGTAACAGTTGCAGTGATGTCATGTTTCCTGCTGTCTTTTCTCCAGGTGGTACTGGATGTTGGTTGTGGCTCAGGGATCCTCTCCTTCTTTGCAGCTCAAGCTGGAGCCAGGAAGGTCTACGCTGTGGAGGCCAGCACTATGGCGCAACATGCTGAGGTTCTCACACACAGATTAATACTAATATCAGTTACCTGACTTTACTATGTTTTAAACCACTTGGTTCATGCATCTCTCTGTTATTACCAATCAACAGCAGGATTTACAGCCGTAGTAAAGGTGTCCTTTGCCCTACAGGTGCTGGTGAACAGCAACCGTTTAGGAGAGCGGGTAGTTGTCATTCCTGGGAAGATAGAGGAGGTGACGCTGCCGGACCAGGTTGACATCATCATCTCAGAGCCAATGGGCTACATGTTGTTCAATGAGCGTATGCTGGAGAGCTACCTGCATGCCAAGAAGTTCCTCAAACCCAATGGTGAGGTTTGGGAAACAGCAGAATGACAACCTGGTAAATTGTAGAATAGAGGGTGAGAGACTGATGAAGACTATGGCCTCAGTAGCAGTAGGAACAACCTTTGCATCAACCACTTTGCTCCTGCTATCTGCCTACATGTAGTGTAAAATATTATCCGATTGGTTAACATGGCTACCGTAAGTACGCAAATGTATATGTGGCCTCAGCTTAATGTTTCAAAATTCAAAGTAAAACCAAATTTCTTTCTGTGTAGCTGGTGTCACATTAATTTTGTTGACTCATCTCCTGTTTGTCTGTGTGTTTTTCTGTGTTTCAGGTAAAATGTTCCCCACTATTGGTGACGTCCACCTGGCACCCTTCACAGACGAGCAGCTCTACATGGAGCAGTTCACCAAGGCCAACTTCTGGTGAGGAGGGAAAATGGGGATTCACGGTATTTTTCACCTGAAAGATTTTGCCCACACTTCTGACTGGTCACCTGTCAGTTTGTCTGTCAATCCATCTGTCTACAGTATATGGCACAGTTGCGTCTGCTGTCTGTGCATTTCCTAGAAAGGGCATTAAGTTCCATCTCACTAGATTTTTTGCAGTATTCATGCCTAAGTACATCATCACATCAGATTCCCAGTGAATTCTATTGTAGTCTGTAAGAGATTGACTGGGTATATAATTCAACATCAAACTTTGGATTTATAAGTATTTATTTTATAGGTTGTTATATGCTAGTTTTTGTTTTGTTGTGACATCATTCCTTGTATTGTTTTGGCGTGCACTATCTCTTGGTACAGAGGGCCGATTAAAAATGCTAAACAGAAGCGGGAACATGGGGCAGCACCGGTGGCACCTACTGTTTATTCTGAGAGCCTGATAGGCCACCACTACTCCTTATTTTAGCTGTTGGGTTTTAATACCAAGCTTGTACTGTTTGTTGTACTATTTTTTATGCATTTGGAATCTATGCAGTGTTTCACCTAGTTTCAGCAGCAGGGCTGTTGAGCATGTATACACCCATGCAACACCGAACCTGCATTTACACATGCTGGCGGACAAATAGCTTAACATGAACTTAGAATTGTTATAGATGGGGTTATTCATGGTCACTTTGCCTTGTGTGTTACCTTACACTTGAAAGGCTCTGGAGGCCCAGAAGGCAACAGTAATACATGTTGAAGAATGAAATGCACACATGCCTGGAACAGTTTGGTAGCTATATTGGCTGGGCCAACCTGAACATGTAGCCAACACTAGTTAGTTAACTTTCTCCTTTTAGCTCCTTCTCTTTACTACTCAGGAGAACATTTTCCGATCTCTGTCTTTCTGCAGCTCAGCTTCTCTCTGCTGCTGCTCTGACAGAGCATCACGCAGTACTCAACTTATAGTGTTAATTATAATAGACCCACTTAAGAGCTTAAAACTACTTACTTTGTGGTCTTTCATTTGACAGGTTACTATTATCCATTAAGATGTCATATATGGTTCCATTGATGTCTGATTGACTTAATGCCCAGTGGCGGCAGCTCCTGCAGTGTTTACAGTCTGTTCATTAAAAAATTAAAATCTAATCTGTTTTTTTTTTTTTTTTTTTTTTTTTTTTTTTTTTTTTTTTTTTGTTCTTCAGGTACCAGCCCTCCTTCCATGGTGTAGATCTTTCCGCCTTGCGGGGGGCAGCAGTGGACGAGTATTTCCGCCAGCCAATTGTGGTACGTTATCCACCACATACACACAGAAGTTTGTATTTGTTAAATGTATATAAACAGCAAATGGGCAGGGAAATCTGAGTGTTCTCACTTGAGGATTTATTGACTTTTTGGGGACCTGACAAGGTTTACTGTTCTGGGACAGCATGTGAACCTGACTTGTGCTTCCTGTGTGAATACCCTGCTGGGTTAGTCTCAGGTTCATGAATTCATTGGTTTACTTCAAGGTTAAGTGTAGTAATCAAGTGTCCTCTAGTTGGGAGACAGTGTTGACTTTTAGTTACGTGGAACTGGATTTGTTGTTGTGCTTAGGTCTGTGTGGTATTTTCACATCTCCTTCCGCAGGACACATTTGATATCCGTATTCTGATGGCTAAATCAGTCAAATACACAGTCAACTTCTTGGAGGCCAAAGAAGAGGATCTTTACAGGTGTGTATGTGCTAAGCGTATTAAATGTGTGCCTTATACCAAGTGTATTTAACACGTCTTTTCCCGGCCTTCTGTTTTTTGTTCACAGAATAGAGATTCCCTTTAAGTTCCACATGATGCACTCAGGCCTGGTACATGGCCTGGCTTTCTGGTTTGATGTGGCATTTATGGGATCAGTGTAAGTCAGCCAGTCTCTCACAGGCATACTGATTCATAAGAAATACTTTTAATTAGTTCTATACAGTTGTCTTGCCCTCACACCCCACCACCTTTCTCGTGGCCTTCCTGCAGGATGACAGTATGGCTGTCCACAGCACCCACAGAGCCTCTCACCCACTGGTACCAGGTGCGCTGTCTGCTGCAGTCTCCCCTCTTCACGAAGGCTGGGGATACATTGTCCGGCACAGCTCTGCTGGTGGCCAACAAGAGGTAAGAAAGCCACGTGTACTTGCAAAAAATAATGTAGTTCTGTGCATCGTGGTAGTCCACTTTGTACCTATTTCAAGTTAGAGGCTTAATATTATGGTCTTTGCAAATTTAAAACATTGATTCTTAAGGCAAAGAGTAGTATCTGTTTCAGAAGCAAAATGGAGGATAATTGCTCAAGCAAACTTTGCAAACTTAGAACTACCAGGACACTAAAAAAAGGGAAGTGCTCCCAACTTTATATAGTAAATAATGAGAAAAGAGGAAATAACAAAAATCACAGACACAAAGGAATCAAACTGTGCAAAAAGCAAAAGAGCAACAAAAACAAAACATTTGGAGAGCCGCTATTTAAAAGCAAATTGGCTGCAGACACCAGTTACAGCTATTGCATGAATAAATAAAGCAGCAGCAGCACAGATATTTGCACTTTCACACTTCAACAGAGCTGCTGTGAAGTTCTATTAATGGTAACCACACTGAAGAAAGTCAGTGAAAAGGGATTTTATTAATCAGTCAGACCACAATACAGCTATATAAAAATGTCAGTTAAAGAAACTTAGCAAACTAACATTTAATATTTTAACTTAGTTGGTTTTATTCGAAGGATCCAAATGTTTTTAGTATTTATTCTCTTCTTATAATTTGATGTACACAGCTACACTATGCTGGACTGTTTCTTGACCGGGGTTTGTGTATCTTTTCATTCAGTTATTTCAATTGAGCTGGAAAACAAAAACAAGGGAAAAGGGAAAATGACTGTGTTCTTGTTTTTATCTAAAATGGGTAAAATAAACAACAGAGCCAAAACAAAAAAGTCATTTCATACTGCTAATCTCTGTCAAGCACAGACCAAACTGCAACATCCATACAGGAGCCTGCAGAGCCATCTGAAACATTCTTAAAGCACTTTGTAATTGAAAATGTAGGTAAACTTTAAGGAATTTCAGGGAAAACGTAGATAATGTGCAGTTAATCAGGGATAATACCTTCACTGCCAGTTTCATCAGTGATGACAGATGGACTGTGGCATGCCATTAGACTCTCATAAGCAATGTTTCCTAAAAATAGAAATTTGCAAGGGTTTCTGAATTAAACCCGATGAAATCTTCTACACACGTGTTCTAAGCATTAGACACGTAATCTGTGAACACTATGATGTGGATTTATCCATTATGTAGTTTTACAAATAGTTAAAGAGGACAGTAACACACTTGGTTTTAACATGTTCATGATGTGACATCTACTGGCCACAAATCATCAAAGCAGCTTCTTTTGTAATTCAGTACCTGTAAAAATCATTAGCGTAACTTGTGCTGTATTCACATTGTCTACTGAAGTGACTCAAATCAGATTTTTTTATTTATTATTTTTTCCCCTCACATTGATTCAGGAAAAGACTTATTTTTGGGTTTGCTCGTTTTCCAGACTGAATGCATAATACACAGACTGGTGTATGGTAATGTCAAGACTCCAGGAAGTTAGTGAGCCCGGTCAAGAAATGTTCTGAATTGTTATGCCCTGTAACACCACAATATTCTACATTTCTACATTTTGGTGTTTGTACTGATTAAACAAAGAGATGTGTTAATTACTGAACTGTAGAGGTGCTGATAGATGGATTTTTGTTACCTTTGGAGGTGGCCATCTTTTCATGTAACTCAAACATGAAAGAAAATTAGTGTATTTTGCGAAATGTTGCTCTAATCCTCGAAGGCCCCAGAGCACCCTACTGTACCTGCTAGTGAATCATCCTATTGCTGATAAATCCACAGGCTCTCACATGCATGGAAGCAAACAATAAATGTAAAAATAAAACATTATGGTAATAATAATGTGTTTTTATTATCTGATTTATAGTAATTTATCAAATACTACAAACCGACCTCTTTCCCAACAGACAAAGCTACGACATCAGTATTGTTGCCCAGGTGGACCAGACGGGATCAAAGTCCAGCAACCTCCTGGACTTGAAGAACCCCTTTTTCAGGTGAGTTGGCCTCTTGACCCCAGTAACCATACTTGTGGGTGGATGGCACTATCTAAGGGTTGAAATGTCCCTGCTGTTTGTCTCTGTAATGCTGAAGGTGTGTATGTATTTGCAGGTACACTGGCACCAACCCTAACCCCCCTCCTGGCTCACACTACACTTCCCCTTCTGAGAATATGTGGAACACAGGGGTGGCCTACAGCATGAGTCAGGGGATGGCTGTATCAGGTGAACACACCTAAACTTCCCCAGGTGGAACCCAGCTACATAGTCTCCGTCTCTTCAGCTGTTTTCTGAATATAATGGACATTTAAAAATGGGGAAATGGCCGAAACGCAGGGTATCTGGTAATTCTGATTAATCAGGAGTGGTAGGAATACTGGTGAACACTTGCAGTCTGATATTTTGTTGCAGCATGTGCTGGCAGCTCTGACAGATCGGATTTTTCTATTAGAAATTTTTGTGACAGTTATATAAAAATTTATTATTTTTACTACAGAAGAGAAGATTCTAGAGAGTTCAGGAAGTTTACAACAAAGTAGTTGAAGGTGCTGTTTTGCAAAAGGCACCAAAATGGGCAAATGAAAAAAGGGGTAAAGGCACTCGTCTAAAAAAAAACAAAAAAACTAAAAAGCCTTTATTTAGGTATGTCTCTCATAATGAGGAGTAAAAACTATACATGTTCAAAATCTGGGTTACAGCCTATGCATAGCTGCAAAAAGCTGCCTTCTTCAGGGTGTAACCTGCAAATCACAGTTTTCCCCTTAAGAAAGTGTAAGACAATTGTAAACCTCTGGTTTTAATGAGGAACCAATCTTCCTGTTCATGGCTAAACACCAGCAGGTGGCCACATAGGGAATCCAAGAGCTTGCACATACGTATAAACCCTGCTTGAAAGAGATGGCTGCACAAAGGTAGACACGAATCTACAACACATGGGCATAAACAAAACAGGGCGAGACATTTCAAAGATGCACAATAATAATAATCTTGACACCCTTAAGATTGATGGTCTAGAAACCATCAGTAATAACATTTTGGTGGGGGTGACCATTTTAACTTTTTGTATACTTCAGTTGCAGGTTACATCTTATCCAGGACTGAATGATGATAATTGTATACAATTTATTTTTTGTACATTTGCCTGTGTTTGATATGGGTCTTGATTTTGTATTTCAGGTAGACCACTACAGAATATAAAATAATTTCCTGAGTTTTTAATTAACAGCAACAGCCGTAATACCTTTTCTTTGCTTTCTGATGTTGAATCCAACTATTACACACCAGCTGTCTCATTGTAAATCATCATAATGGGCTGGTGAGTAAAAGTCAGGTTTTTTTTTTTTTTTTTTTTTGTTTTTTTTTTCCCCTCCGGTGGTGGAGGTTGCTCTGCCCTTTACACATAGTGCAGAATTCCCAGCCCCCTCCTTGTCGCTACTGATGCTACTGCACTGCCCTTTGCATGGCAGCAGACTGACGTTTGCTACTTCATGATACATTGTGCCGCATATGGAGGGCCACAAAGGTCACAGAAATAATCATGTGGAATTTCATTAATTTGGCCAGGACTCTCACTGAGAGCAGTTGTTTATGATGAGAAAATGAATGATGATAACCTGCATTTTGTTCTTTGTAGTAAATGATGATTGCTTTGTTCCCTGTCTCTCCCCTCCAGGGATGCCTGCAGCTTATGACCTCAGCACAGTCATTGGCAGTGGCCAGTCAGTGACTCACAACAACCTCATCCCCCTGGGTACGATTTGCACTCTTCCTGACTTCTCTACATCTTAATGTTTTGAGGAATAAATGAAGTACCAGGCATACACATAAATGGCACAGAAATACTGTTCATGTTTTAGTTTGTAGTGAGCGCTGCAGTACTGTATGACAGTGGTCCCCAACCTTTTTATCACTGCGGACCGGTCAACGCTTGACAATTTTATTGCAGCCCGGGGGGGTACGTAGATTGTTTATAA